TGGACAAAAGTTGTTAAAATAAAAATCTGATCTACAACCGAATGTCGTAGCTCAGTTGGTAGAGCATTTGGCTGAGGTACTCAGTGGCCGCTGGTTCGAGTCCCGTCGGGCCCCATATTTATATCTCACGGTTAATCATCTCAGTAACAAAATCTGTTTAAAAAAACTAACAAAGCATTATTTCTATGATTTCTGAAAACATTTTACAAAATAAATTACTCTATTATTCCTTCTTCAATTTAATTGATTCAGTATAAATGAATTTCATTACTAATAATAAAATCCGGGAAACTTTTTAAAACTACATCAATAAATGAATCTATCAGGCTATTTGGTTGAATTGAAATGAGAGTGTAGTTGGTTTTGTAGGCAATATGAATGCCACACCCAATAGTAAAAATAATCACATAAACTATTAGATTATTGAGATAACTTTACAATGAATATTTTTTATGATGTATTTCCAATTCTATACATAACATTTGCTTTACTCATCGGCTGAAGAAACTACAAAGCATACACAACTAAACAATAATATTGAAAATTTCTTATGCGCTGAACTCTAAATTAAGTAATATAGGAAGATTGAGGGAGTTAACTTCATAGAGCTGGAAAAAATCAACTTACATGTTCGTAAGTAATGTGCTTATATGTAAATATGATTTACATAGAACAGATCATGGAATGGCAGTCAACTCTATACCTCAACTCCGTCGACTTTGAAAAAGCCTTCGATAGCGTCGACCAAGAAGTAATTTTTAGCAGTTGGTTCAACACTATGGTTTTAGCGCCACAAACCTTTATCAACCTCATTCAACAGCAATATGCTATATGATACTACATGCCAAGTGATTCACAATGGAAAGTTCAGTGATGCCTTTGAAGTGAAGACATGCAGGAGTAGAGCGAGGTCGCCGCCTAGTATCACCGAACATATTCCTCATTGTGGTCGACTGGACTGGATCATACGACAGACAACTGTGAGGAGCTGTAAGATGGGTATACGCTGGCTGGACCGATAGAAAGACCCAAGAAGATTTGGATTTCTGAAATGATGATTTATGTCTAATGTCACAAAATCCAAAAAGTTGATGGAAGAGGCAGGATAGCGAAGATGGGTGAACATAGAAAAGACAGAGAAAGAGGTGATGAAGATACCCAACCAACCAACCAACCAACAACGATAGGCACCAATCACCATCAACACGAGAAATCTAAACGAAGTTGTCTCTTTCACCTACCTACCCACCTAGACAGCATCGTCTCAACTATAGACGCCACAGACACAGATCAGGATGTCAAAGCCAGCCAGCCAGCCAACCACAGTTCTTTCTTGCTTATTCTCATTATTCTGACCATCCAACTTGTTCGCCGGAAGATCTAACTGTCTTGAGTTCAACTCTTCACGGAATCAGCTAGCAAGCTAGCTGGCAACGAACCAACAAATATGCAGAAGAATAAGGTGGAGATGGATTTGATTTGATTTGATTGGGCATACACTGAGGAGATGGTTTGGGGATATGATGCATCAGGCTAGGTGAGGCTAGACCAGGTCAGGTCGTCGAGTGGACGACGAATGGGAAAGGATGAGTTGGGCATCCGAGGTGAGGGTGACATGGATGAGATTGTGTGTGGAAGAAATGAAAGCTTGTAGGTAGTCGTGTATCGAGGTTGAAAATACTGGAGAGAGGAGAGTGAAATGGCGAAGGACTAGGAACCCAAGGGAAAAATTGTAATAAAGAAAAGTAATAGAAAGGAATGTTAAACTGTTTTTAGTCTGTCATATCAGCGTAATTTCAGCTTAATAAATCATCAGTACACATATACGTTATGGACTACAATAGTTCTAGATTGTATCACAGGAATAGGCTTCAATAATTACAAATGAAAAGAGTAATTTAACAGTTGATTAAAAGTTATTCAGTCCACTCAAACCTTCATCATTTCTTCGACTAACTCTAATTCAATATTTGTGTAGCTATGATACATTGGTTTAGGCAGGTGACTTTCAATCAATGGATCATGGGTTAAAGGCTCGCTCCACCTACCGAAGTTGGTGGATCTAAGTGGGATCATGAATCCTCACACAATAAGTGTGGTTCACTGGCAACTGAACGAATGTGTACGATGTTGTTGAGTATATTTCGATTTTAATTTGTATTCGGTATTGTCAGATACTTGAAACCAACCAACACAAAGACTTACTTCACGTGAGTTTCACTGATTAAGGAAGCTATCAGTAAGGCATATTAGTATCCATGTGAAAAGTTATCTTTTCCTGTGTTATTTGGGTTAGAGGTAACATACTTATTCACCAAGCTATTAATTTATGATAGAAATACAGAATGATTTTTGACGATAACTTCTAAAGAGCTTAAAAATACCATCTAGCATTCACTGGTAAGAAATCTATTCGCCGTCTTCGGACTGCATATTCCTCTTGTCTGACTGCTTATTATTTCAAAGTCAGACTATACCTAACTATCTCAATATGGTAATTCAATATTCTTGGTTCTACTTCTTGAGATGGGATATTCATTGATAGTATATCCACAATATAGTCAGCTTCACAGGAGTAAATACACATAGACGTGAACATAAGTGGCAACCTATCCTTCACGTGTTGTCGTATCAAACAAAAGCTAGAGAATATCAACGTCTGTTTATCAGAATAAACTGTACCATTGGAGCACTTTAACAGACAGCTTCTCAACACTTAAACTGTGATATCTGTTTTGAATTGCAAATTTATCATTAAAATTCCCTCTGGAACTGTAATAATATGAGAGGTGATTTGTTTCTTCAAGTTTCTTACCAATATTACTCATCAGTGTGGTTTTAAGAGTTTCCAACTTAACATCCACAGTATCTTCTGAGTATTATTATTACTATTATTTGTCCCTTGGGTTGCTAGTAGCACATAGGGCTTCAGTAGCACGTCTTCAGTGCACTCTCTTCTCTGCAATCTTTTCAACCTGGCTACACCACTGCCCACAACCTCTCACATTTCTTCCTCACATGATCTCCATGTCACCCTCGCCTCGGACGCCCAACTTGATGGCTGACGTGAAGATTTAGTCTGTAGTTTCATCCTTCACTTTCTGTTCTAGGCGTTGAACTTGAACTGTGGTCTATCATCAGCTTCCTTGAAGGCTTTTAACTTGATTCGAAAGGTTCCTTGAACTAGATAGTAAGTGGTCTGAACCTACATATGCTCCCCTTCTTCATCTTGTGTCCAGTAGGCTGGCTGCGTCTCCACTTTCTTCACATCGAGATCAAGTCAATCTGGTTTTTGGTGTGTCCTGGTGTCTGGGGAAATCTATGTCACTCGCTTTGTGGATATCCTTGTGCTTGAACATACTGCTTCACTCCAATCAACAAATCGTTGAATGCACAGAATTCTGCAAACAATTCTCCATTCCCGTTCATCACCTCACCGAGCGCTTCTCGACCCATGGTTAGTTCTCTTCCTGAGTTGTCCTCTCCCAGTTTGGCATTCATGTCGCCAGCTGGGGTGGGGTCTTGTCCAATGTTGATTGCAGTTGTCTGTAGAATTCCTCCTTCTTCTCTTCATCTGCATTATTTGTAGGTGCGTAGCGCTGTATGATTGTGACCTTCCTTCCTTCCTTTTGAGTTGAACCTTGCTGTTATGATCCTGATTGTGGAGAAGACTGGTTCCCATTGCATGAGAGCCTTCGATGCTGTTGGGGACATCATGATAGCCACTCGAAAATTCAGTGTGCTCGTGGTTGTCGTCTGGGTGACAATATCGGAGCAGATTATTGACTCTCCAGTTGACAGTTTGGAGAGTCCACTCCCATTCCATCTGCTTTCGCAGATTCCTAGGACTTCAATACTATACCTTCTCATATCCTTCGCAATCTGGATAGCCTTTCCAACCAGGTTCAAACATAGTATGGACATTCCATGTCCCCATATTTACTTTCGCTTTCATCGAGAGAAGACATCGGCCAACTGGCTTCCCGAGGGCAGGCTTTCACCAACCGGCGTCATTTCGTCTCTCCAATTCCAGCGAGGAATAAGTTTGTTTTCATGTTTAATATCTGGTCTGTGCTTTGAAGTTTCTGTAGCGGTTGGATTGATTTTACGGGGTAGGGTTTCTAGCCCTATGCCCAACGTTCCCTCTTCATCCGGGCTTAGGACCGGCTAGTAACTAGTGAACCAGGCGAGGTTATCTTCCGAGTAGATTTTATGAATTCTGGAACACAGCAAGTAAATGAGATTCCTTATACTACTGAGAGGTACTCAACTATTAAAGTTAGTGAACTGGTTTCTCGACAGATTGACTTTTGGAGTGAGCCATCGTCTCTCCTTTCTAACACCATGTCTGGAGAGTGAAACGTTAAACTTACTTCTTTCACAATGAATTTTACAGACGGCAGAAAACCATGAATCCTCTAACCAGTTCATCAACTGAACATGTTTCGTTACAAATAAGAAAACTATCATCTATGTACTCTCTGTACAGATAAAGTTGTGACATTTCTTTTATTAGCCCATTTTTGAGCTTCGCTATGAAAATATCAGTCAGGACGAGGCTTAGTGGGAACCCTATTGCTACTCCGTCAGTTTGATTATATGTCACAACATGAAATATGACCTGTAGATTGAATGTACATCTTAATATCAGCTGCCATAAGTAGTTCATTGCTTGATGCTTATGTCCATATTTATGTGTATCCAAAAATTTTCACATGCTTCTTTGGAGTTGAATACATTGGACTTTGTACGCTGGCCCTCCGAAAATGCATTGCAGAGCAGTACTTGATTTGACTTACCATAGGTGAGCGAATAAAAGCAGCTTCATCAATATATGCACAATCGGTTGGATAGTAGTTCAGTCTTTTGGTATTCAAGATTTAGTTGGGTAGTAGGATGATGACTGAAATGATCACATTGAGTTCATTTTGTTGAACACAAGAGGGAAGAACTAGTCTTCTTACTCACCAGTTAATTATTTTTTTAAGCAAGAACTATATGATTCAGAAGAGTGGTATATTCATATGAAAACTTTCTATCAAACCTCAGTTACAAAGTAGAAAGCAATTGAACTGAGTTATTCACTGCCCTAACCTTGAACCCATTCTAACATAATAGCTTTCTGCTTCTAAAAAATCGGTGAAATAAACATCGATATACTGTTGTTTTCATCAGATACAGAATTTTAAATATATAACAGAGGTAAACTAATTCTTATTGGGTAATGAAAATACACCTTTGAGTATAAAAATGCCAACAAAACAAACCCAATATTAACAAATACTCTTCCTCTCTGAAGATCCCAGAATTTTCATACATTTATAGTTTTTTTAAGAATTAAAGATTTCTAATAAGTAAAAAAAAAAACCAAACGTTTTGTTGGATAACATTTAAACTTGTACATGAGATAACATCAGTTTTTATTTGGTTTTATATTTTTGAACATGAAAAACACAAAGTTTGATTGATAGACAAGATTTCATCATATTTGACAAAACTTTGAAAAATAAACTTCATAAAAATCTAAAATTGATATGTATTTAGAAGAAAATACATGAAAAAAACAAACAAACGAGGAGTAGTCATCAACAGTAGTAGTTGATTGTTGAATTAGGAAAATTCCGAAAACAAACCATACTACTTATAAATAATAAGTAATGTACATATATTCAAAGAAATATCATTTACATTAACACTGCTTTATGGAGAGATTTTTGAGATGATAACATTTCTCCTGGAAATCAATGAATACTATATGCAACAAAACACAATGAAATAAATGAAGATGTTTAGTTACGTTTTTGTGGAAAGACAGAATAATTCAAATTCAATAATCGAGGTATACAAGGTCTTAGGAAAAATAAGATGAATATATGAAGAAATATTTCCAGTTAGCGGTCTGTTAACTGTTGTTTACAAGTATCATATGGACAGTTATTTACTTGTAGAACAATAATAAAGAATAAGAAGGTTTGAATTGAGAGATGAGATAGGGGGGTGTAAGCCTCATAGCTTAGATGTCCCAGTTTTCAGTGCAGATTTCAATGGTGATTGTTGTGTAGAACCAGGTGTCCGATTAATAGATGGTGATGATGCACGTTGATTTGCTGTCCGATGTAGTGGTGAATGTGTTGTACTGTCTTCAATCTCATCATCATCATCATCTTCGTCATCATCATTATCTTCATCTTCGTCCAAGTCATTTTCATCATCATCTTCAAGATCTTGTAGACCATTCACATATTTCGTATTGTCCCCAATGCCTTGAACACCATGATCAACGCCAACATCATCATCTCCTTCAGTGAACAAACTGGTTACATCGTCGTTCTAATTGATTTTGTATTCAATGGTTTCAATAATAGTTTTTTGAAGAAAAGAATAAATTAAAAAAGGGATACGGTTGAATGGTGGATAGTGGCTAGCAACGTCAACGTCAAATTGCATACAAAGTACGACAGTTTATACATACATAGAATGAACTTGACTATTTTTCGGCCAACTATCTCCATCTTTATTCAATTTTATCATATATTATCTTATGGAGGTATCCATCTTGTCATCTGACTTCACAGAAATTGACCTGACCACGAGAGAATTCTTGGTTGACCTAGAATACGCAGATTATATAGTCAACCCTGTTAGGTTAAGACGCTGACAAGATGCGGAGTCTTCTGGACATCTTGAGCAGCGATTTGAGGATATTTGGAATGGGTTTCTCACCACCCAAGTGCAAACTATTCCTCCAGGACTGGTCTTCAACGGTACCCCGACTAACAATACACACTGAAGTGGATGAGCGCGTTGAACACTTCACTTACCTGGGAAGTGGGATCAGTCCTGGTACGTCAATGGTCCACAAAATCTCTGCACAGATACAAAAGACTTGGTTGGCTTTTGCCAACTTACGTCATCTGTGGCACTACCGCGATATCCGGTTGCCTATTGATGGTCGAGTGAACTGTGCTGGAGTCTGCCCTCTTCTACTGTATGCCTGTGAAACATGGGCATTAAAGAGATAAGACATCAGGTTTCAGGTGTTTGATCATGATTGCCTTTGTATAACACACCATGTTTCGCGACATCATCACATGAGTAACGCAGAAGTCAGGCACAGAGTTTTAGGCAGGAGAGGTAAGACAGTTGAGGCCTCATCGACTGAGATGGCTGAGAAATGTGCTACGTATGTCTAACCACCGTTTGCCTCGTCACACAATGTTGGCCGAAGTAGGTTCTTGGCTCTGGGACAGACTAAAACATGAAATCAATGCATGAAGTCATGTAGAACGATGTAGATTAGCTGGTTGGAGTCTACGTGACAAGAGAAATCAGTGGTTGGGGACTCTATGTGATGAGATGGCTCAGAATCCATAGCAGTGGCTGAAATGCATATACACATTATCCTCATCTCAACCACTATACTCAATCTCACTATCCTCTCATTCTTCCTCCCTTTCTTTTACCACTTTCTACTCCTACTTCTTTTCATCTGTTTCCTTCCTTCTTCATTTTACATTTTATTGCCTTGTTACTTGATGGGCTGATAGGTGTGGCAATCTGGACCGGTACGCAGTAATGCCTGATCCTATATTGATCTTGATGATGATTATTTATTCCGATTTCATTTCAATTCACTTTATTATGTAACGTTCTGTATTATGCCCCTGTTAATGAGAAACCATCATTATGTCACAATTCAGATTTCTTCAGTCAATCACATATTTTTATACTGAAATTACTTCGTTGCAGAAGGACCTTGACTCGTCTGTCAACTTGTTAGTTTTCGCCTGTAGATCTTTGAGTTTGTATGCCATTAGACATAAATAATCTCCATTATGGCCATGTAATTTACTTGTTGCCTATATACACATATGAATTAGATCGTCTAAGACATACAGATGATAAGGCACCAGACAGTCTGCTATTGTAAGCGGCTTGGAGTGTCGAAGTGTGTGATTAATGTTATAAGTGAATTGAGTACACGAGACTAGGCAAGTATATTCAAGAACAATCACGTCCAAGGTCAGAGTTAGGAATGAACTAGAAGAATCACGTACTTAAGGTAATCATTACAAGACTAAGTTATAACAAATTAATGACAGGATTAATTCAGGCGTATAAGAAGGTTATAATATTATGATAAGGCATAATTATTTTACATTATTATTACTCGTATATTTCAGTGAATACTTACAAAGATATCATTCCAATGTTCTATTGTAACATTTCTTATAATAGAAATAATATATTGTGTATTAAAGGTGAAAGATATAAATACAAACTTATGTGATGGGTAACAATGAAATCTAGGACTACAACATAATGAATATTCGAACTATATTGAGGCATCCATATACGAGCTTATTTGTCAACAGAAGTCGATATATTCAATCCAGTATAGAGACGTAAAAGTAGAAATATTAAAGAACAATAACTAATACCCATTGTACAATAGGTGGTCCGGGTGATCTAGTGGCCCTATCGGATAATATTCTGGCGTTTGAAGCAACTAGTCCTGGGTTAAAGTTCCAGTGGGAACAACACCATTCATTCATTCATTGGAGTCCAGGTAATATCTAGCTGACAAGTTCCAAGCAGGACTTCAGTGCTAGATGCCAAACAAACTACAGAATAATGAATACCTGGGAGGCATCACTGCAACTATATAGGAGGCCATCTGCTAACAGAGTTCAAGCAATTTTACCCCGTAGTGACGGGAACTTAAAAGTATCCATCTACAACTTACCTGATGTGTTAAACCAGAATGATGCAATTGTTGTCGTTGTTGTTGTTGCTGCTGCTGTTCCTGTTGTTGTCGAGTGTGTATCTGTTTATTCTTCTTATTACATCGTAGTGATGACAGGCTACCACGACTGCCTGATTTCACTGAATTCATTGAACTATGTCGAGAAGATAACTTCTTGTGTGATCTATGATTGCCTATTGATGTTGTTGGTGATGCTATTGAAGATGTGTCACCACCTATTATACTATGTTGACTCATTAACAGATTATTATTCAGTGTTGTTAAATCACTTCCAGATCGTAGTAATATCCCACGGAATTCAATTAGATCAGCTTCTTCATGTAATGATTGGATTGCATTATAGGCTAGACTAAATGTTTCCAAGGCTTTAGCATGCCATAACATTTCAATTTGAATAAAATCTGTAATGATTTTCTTTAAAAAAAAAAGGGAGAAATACATAAGAGAAGTATTAAAGAGGAATAAAGTAAAACGAAATCCCCTTTTAATTATTATTTAGACTAGTTAAATGGAAATTTAGACCTAGTTAGCAGTATAGATCAGTGGTCTGGAGACCTTAATTCAAACTATGCTATGAACCATATAACCTTTCTCAACATCAGCCATCAAAAACATGTACTGATAACTTCTAACTATGGTTTTGTTGCCAACCCACGTAATTTGTCCACATTTAGTCAGTTTTACAGCTACAGACGTTTAGATAGCTAAAAGGTATCATAACCATGATAAAATATTTGTGATTCATTGTCTAGCGCAGTAATCTGTACATAGTTGTTGAGGATTGTATACATAAATATGGTTAAAATAACTAGTAACATACCGATTATATAAGAAATAGCTCTTACCATTCAGTAGCCCAGTTGATAAAGCTATGACGTCTGAAGAATTATTTTTGAGTTCGAGTCTCAGTGGGGACACTATTGCTTACTGAGTCATTTTTGGCCCTGGCGAGATATCCGACTACCTATCAAAAGACGAGTATACTGAGCTGCTACAGTCCGCTCTGTCCTGCTATACGGCTATGAGACATGGCCATTAAAGTAAAAGACATGAAGCGGTTATAGGGTTTTTGGACCATTGCTCGCGTTTGGTGGAATCAATGTGTGAGCGATGTTGAGGTCAGGTGAAGGATGCTAGGCAAGAAATGCAAACAGATTGATAACGACTTCAGCCTTAGTAGACTGAAGTGACCTGGACACGTATTGTGCATGCCAAGTCACTGCATATTTCGACCTGCAATGCTAGCCAAAGTTGAATTAGGTATGAAGATGGCTCAGAGTGGTCAAAATAAGGTGTGGCAGCAATCGATGAAGTCTGTGACTGTTGGTCTGAGTCGTGTGGGGAGATGTAGACTGGCTGGTTGAGGACCCCGAGACGAAAGGAACCAGGGGTTGAGGACTCTCCAAATTGTTTAATCTTTCACACAAACTTGTCAACATTGATATCACTCTATTCTACCCACCTGTTCCCTGTATACTACTATGAAGTGTGGCAACTTGAACCGATTTTTCTGTGTGCGAGATTTTACTTTGAGCTTGTCTGGCTGTAGAGTCTTTTTTAATATGTCTATGAATACTACACCTAAAGAACTTTATCATTAGAACATGTCTAAAATATTTGCAAGGTTTCAGTGAACTTTATTCTGTAAGTTTTCTGTATACGGCAGAACGATGACTGAATTGTTAGAATCCTTTGTAGCTCAGGGTGACGATTACTATTTTTATTCAGTGTTCTTCAAGCTCTTAAGTTTTCTTCTTAGATGTTTCATCACTGAACTAGCTAACTTCATCAGCACATACTTCAAAACTTCTTTTAAGTAAATTCTTATGAAGACATCTAGTGTGCTGGTTAAACGTTCCATAAACAAGCTTGAAAACTTGATGAACATCAAATAATTATCATATTAATCTTTATAAATTTCTTCAAGTTTTTGTTATATCTGGGTGTTAAAGGTTAAACATTTTAACAGGCTGAACAACTTTTCATCTCTTAATATTTCAAACTATTTAAAAATCAAATACTTGGAAGGTTAGAATTACAATCAAATGTTTTACTTCAAAATCTGCTTTATTTACAAGCCCAAGATATTTATTTATATGATGGGTAATGACTTTTTGGAGTTTCTTAATAAATGGAATTTATTTTGGTATGAATAACAATCCTAATGATTAGTATATTTTCGTAATGAGCTAATAAATGAAAAACATAGGTATATTGCATTAGTGGAAATTTTAGGATGCACCAAAAGCATCGAATGTCTACAAATATTACGCTTGATCAGGTTGGCTTTGAGATTTGCTATGCATGCTGAATCAACGCTACAATTCTAAGCAAAGTCGGATTAATTTGGAAGAGAGTTCACGATAGCTATATTAAACCATGGCACTAGTGTATGAAGTCCATGACTATTGGTCTGAGACGTGTAGACAGGTGCAGACTACCTGGTTACGGGAGGGTCTCTGAGACGATACAAATCATTGGTGTAGAAGTCTTGGTGACATGGCTGAAAATTAGTCACATTGTTCCGATATATATATATCCATAACTTGGATATTTTGATCAACCGTAATTTTAAATTTCTTCTCCCACCCTATACCTTTGTCTACTTTGTTATTAGTCCTTCCAATCCACTTATTCGTTGTATACTACTGTGAAGTGTAGCAGATTGAAGCGGTACACTTGTGTGGGAGGTTTTACGTTAACTTTGGCTGTCTGCCTACCTATCTTTCAAGACTTCAGAAATACGATTTGTGTTTTTCAATGATTTTCTCAATAATTTACTTGGTTGTGGCTAGCAAAGGAATCCAGGATACGTGTTTCGTCTTATTTGGGACTCCTCAGCTGGCTTTACATACACTCTCGTGAGTCATGTTGTCCCCGTTGAGACTTAACTCCACTTTTAGCCACTATTCATTATTATTATACATAACTGAAACACAGGCAATATCTGGGCATCCGTGCACGAGCCCATATGCCAACAGAAACCGATCAATCCGGTCTATTCAACGACGAGTTAATACAAACAATAATATCAAGAGTCAATTCATCCTAAAAATGATGATTATTAATTTATGTACTTACTTTAATGCCCTTTAATCGACGACCTTCAAAGTCAAGTACACAACGTTCTAAATTATTTGCACTTTTAGTTGCATCAATCATAGCATTGTGTAGTTGGATTTCAGCCTTGAAATATATAAATAATAATAATAATGATTGTCATAAAATATTTTTCAAAAAAAAAATATCAAGTGACTAGGTATTATCATCTTAGTTCATAAGATAAAGTGCCTATCAGTTTATGTTTCGATAAGCTATTCTCATAATTTTTGCTTATTGAGGTTGAGTAAGAATATAATTGGTCTATATTCAGCCTTCAAGGTTAATCAATAAGGTCATGCTGTGAGAGTGAGCCTATCAGAGATCAGAGAGGTAATTAGGTGAATTGGATTGGATAGAGAGACAAACATATGATCTTCAAGGGATTTACATACACTAGCTTAAATAGATATTCCATAATATGATCATATCTCTTTTTGATGGTGCGTAATCTACAATCAAAACATCTGACGAAGAGTTGCTACCAACTCACCTTCATATTTACAGCTAGCTGAACATTAATTGACCGCCGGTTGTGGTTAGTACTGACTGATAAACTCTGGTCAGGGATAAATACTAAAGAATAGATAACTATATCGGCTACCGAATACTGCTCACTTTGTGCACATAATTCAGTCATACGTGGAGATAGCCATGGATGGCCTGAGTAGCTGGTAACGTCTCTGACTATAGCACTCAGTGACCCAAGTTCCATCCCCTGAGAGAACTTCAGAATCCTTTTGGTCACAGACACACCATCCGGATGAATGCCACCAAGTACGAAACCTAGACCAGGCAAGGTTTTCAGCCAACTAACTTCCAACATCTCACATAAAATACAGCTAACTGTGCCTCCTATTCGAAGTTAGCGAGAATATTCAAGATAACAGTTTCTTTAAAAAAAGTTCAAAGTATTAGTCTACTTTTGTTATCGAATAGAAATCAATTATTTAGCATCTCTTCATACTCTTCCATTTTCGCACAATACTAAGAAAATTAATCTAACTAATTAAAGCTTGATGTAAAAGGAAATGATTAGGAAGACTTTGAAACGCTGACTTATTTCACGATACAAACGGTATTCTTGTGTCTAAAATTATGTGCCACGAAATACACTCAGAAACCAAGTGCACATTCACGCAGTAATCAATGAGCCATAACTATTGTGTGAGGAATAGTGATAAACTATCTGGTTACCCATACCTCGGCAGGTAAAGTGGATTCGAACGCATGATCCATTGATTGAAAGTCAACTTCCTAGATCAATGAGCTATAATTACACAACCGTACCACCCCACCAATATGATTCAATCAACATACTCATTACTCGGTGTCCTACTGCTACTTTTTTGTAGTCCATCGGCTGATGTATGCTAACCAAAGTAAGTTTTAGATATAGTACCCCGTGTCAATCCTATCCTGCCTCCTAATATTAAACAAAGTGTACCATGATGTTCAGTTTCCTGTCTTTGTGATCAGATCGATAGTATTCGGTCAGCAGCACTTAGGATTGGATAATATGAAGTCGGTTAGTCTCTAATGCTTAGCCAATATATCCATGGAATCACTGTTCCCATATGTGCTGTTTTAAGTTGTTGCAACATAAACTGATACGCTCTGATGCGAGATTATAATACATTGATGTATCAATTGGATCCCAAATAGATCAATAACAAAATTACTTGAAAATGAAATCATAGTAATTCAATTTGGAGGTTTTGCGGATTTTATTGACTTTAAGGTGATATTCATCGCTGACTGACACCAGTAGGAGAACCACTGAAAACCTGTGAGTACTGGACAGCTGTTTCGTCTTAGTAAGGGACTCCAACCGGGATCGAACTCAGGAAGCGCGGGTTTTGCAGCTACCACTTTTTCATTGAGTCACTGGGTTGGAATCCAACAATCATCACTTTCCTACTTTTGTCAGCTCGTGGTATAATTCAACCTTCATCCAATGCGCTCGCTGAGGCCTGTTCTTACGTCCAACTTTGTCTATCAACCGATCAAGACTTCTTACCAGAACTTTGAAGAATTTCATCTCCACGCAAGTCGCCAGGGAGCACTTTGGATAGTTCGTAGGAATTTCACTGTTTTGAAGTTTGTATTCATTACAGACTGACATCAGTTAGAAAATATGGCCGTCACAGGATCTGGTCACGGGTTCGACCCCTGGTGGAGTCACGAGTACCCATTGCTGAGGAATGCCATACTAGGATAAAACAGCTGTTCTGTGTGATTCCAGGTTTTCAATGGTCCTCTAACTGATATCAATTCACAATGAATACCAATTTGAAGTCATGTCCTAACCAATATTAAAAATGCTATTCATGTACAACACATGCTATAAACATTCTGTAGCCTTGAAATAAACTAATTTAAACAAATGAACATTTAGTTGTTTTATTGATATGAATAGCCTTTAAAAATATATGCGCATGATTCGAAAACGAAATGATATTTAAAATTAAAATAATTATTTAGTTCAAACGAAAAGGTGCTGGTTAAAATAAATGAACTATTTGAATAAATAAAAGACACCATATTATATATTAACAAGTTATCATGTGTATCGTTTTTGTTTGAATAAATACACCTAATGTTAATGTGCACATTAAAACAAAAACAAAAAAAAAGATTATTGATAACATGGTTTGAAATTTATGGGAATTTTATTTTAAAAGGTTTTATTCATCATGGATTGATATCAGTAGGAAAACCATTGAAAAACTGGAAGTACTACACAACTCTGTTTCGTCCCATCAGTATAGGACTGCTCAAGCGTATTTACCTACCACTACTTCACCGGAGATACACAGATGTATGCTGCTGAATCTCAAACTAGTGAGACGAAACATCTGTCCAGTTCTCCTGATTTTTCAATGATTCTCTCTAAATGATGTCAGCCCGTGATGAATAAATACAACCTTTAAAAAGGTACGTTTTATTCAACAACAAAAAAACACAAGTAAATAGTGTTTTAATATCTTGAATAAATTCGATGGGCTAAACAAGACAAATATTCAAGACTGTGAAGGTTTACAACAAAAAGATTTAGAAAAATCGTATTTTAAGTAAATGGAATAAGTCAATTGAAAAAGAAGGAAGTCTGCATCCAATAAAGAGAACAATTGATATTTAATGAAAATTAAACTGAAGTCCAGATGATGTTAAATGTTTCAATTTACACAAGGTATACCCCTACTTTGTTTTATTGTATGGCTACCAGATATGACCCTTGAAGAGATCACAATTTTTTAATCATAGGTAAGTACATTCAGTGCATTGTTTCTGTGTGATGAAATCATCGTATGTACAACGTTAAAATTAGGTGGAGAATAGTAGGCAGTGTAAGGAAGTCAGTTAATATGATTGTGAAATTCCATGCACTGACATGACTTAGACATGAGTGTTACACACGCTGAGCTACCATCCATTTCGACGTCCAACTTTAGCCAAAGTAGGATTGAATTGAAAGAAAGCTCAGAGTAGCCAGATCAAGATATGGTATTGGCCTACAAAGTATCCGACTACTAGCATGAGCTGTGTAGAGAGATATAAGCTAACGTATCAGGTAAAACAAACCTAAAAGTTTTCAGGTTATTTGAGTACCTTCAGACTGTTAGTCTACACGAAAATAGGCATGGTTTCAGAATCATAAATGATTTATGATCAGTTTTAATAGGTACTAAGTTAGATATCTAATTCATGGCACTAAAAGATACTCGAATAGTCTATATTGTAAATACTTCAATGATTAAATAAATACAGTTTTCTAGTTGGTATTTTATCAAGGACTGACATCAGTTGGAGAACCATTAGAAAACAAGGAGCACCGAACAGCAATTTCGTCTCAGTAAGGCACTCCTCAACGGTACGCCCTTATGACCTTATTAGGAACTAAGCCAAATACCTTCAGGTTCATCAGCCAGCAAGTCACCATTGAGCCACTGAGTTGGCGTCCAAACGTCTATATTCTCCTTCTTATGTCACTTCATCGTATAGCTCTACCTTCATCTAATATCGTCGGTGAGCACCTGTTCTGGAGCAAATGAAGTCGAAAGTGAGAACACGTATTCACTGATGGATATTGGATGAAGTTCGCGCTATACCGTGAACTGACAGAATTAGAAAAATCGGGACCATTAGATTACGACTCAGTGACTCAATGGTTATGGCCATGAAGACTGAACCTCCTGTGTTCGACCCCATAGAGGGATCATGGATGTGCGCTGTTAAACAGTCCCATGCTGAAACGATACTGCTATCCAATGCTCTTTGACTTCCAATGGTTCTCCAATTTATGTCAGTCCTTGATGAATACCAATACAACAACGGTGGTAGAGTGCTCTTAGTCATGTTAACGGAAGTGTTAGCTAGTATATGGGAATCAAATACGATCCCCTCCGACTGGTCCAAGTCACTCATTATCCCAGTCTTCAAGAAAGGCCAGAAGTCCTCTTGTGATAACCACAGAGGAATCAGCCTGACGAACATAGTATCCAAAATCCTAGGTTCTATAATTCTCCGACACCTGAGTGGAGCTCGGGAACACCAAGCACGAGAAAACCAGGCAGGCTTTAGAGCTGGCCGTGGGTGTATTGACCAAATATTCACACTGCGACAGGTCCTGGAACATAGGCATGCTTACAGACGCCCGACAATAGCTGTATTTCTCGACCTGAAGGCTGCATTTGACTCCGTTGATCGAGAAGTCTTATGGCAATGTCTGTCACTGAAAGGCGTGCCTAGTAAGTACATCACCTTATTGAAGCTGTCTACTCGAACACTTGTGGGTATGTTAGAGCCTATGGCGAGTTGTCCAGGGAGCTATACTCATCGAGTGGTTTCCTACAAGGATGCCCACTATCTCCATTCCTATTTAATTTTATCATAGATATTCTTATGGAGGTTTCCCTCTCGTCACCTAATTACACAGACGTTGACCCAATCACGGGTGAATTTTCTTTAGATCTACAACATGCAGATGACATAGTCCTGTTAGGTGAAGACGCTGACTGATGAGATGTAGAGTCTTCTGAACACTTTGAGTGGGAATTTGAGAATGTTTGGGATGCGATTTTCAC